TCGATATCATAAATAAACTGTTTAAATTACATATTATATAAATTTTATACAAATTGGTTAAGATATTAAAAAGTTTTGTTAGAAGCGTTTTTTTATTTACTATATAAAAATCTAATATACCTCTACGTACACCCTACCCTTAATAAAAAGAAATTTTAAAATTTCATCATAGAAAAGATTAACGTTAGCCCATGTCTCCGGCATGGAGTAAGGGTAGTAATTTTATTTTATTTATTGTAGATTAAATATCATAATTCGAGTGATTTTCCGTTATATTAAAAAAGACTTTATTATAGGATAAGACCCACGTCATAGGTATTAAATAGTATTTAGCCTTAATTAAATTTATGTTTGCATCAAAAAGGTAATCTAAAAGGTATAAGTTTCGCTTTTTCTGTATTGTATTCACGCTGACAATAAAAAATTAATTCAGGTTTTATCAATATCACGAAGTGTATGATTATATGGCAATTCAATGTTGTTGACCACTAAATCTCGCAATTAATTGCATTGTGTGAGCTATGTAAATACAATATACATAGGGTTAACTTTTTTTTTGATTTTTACCTCCCTCGCTATCCTGAAGGTCCTTAGTCTCTCACTTCTCTAAGGCCAGATTATCATTCATTTTATAGTAAAAATTTCTTTTCTTTTTTTTTTTTTTGTGATTATGGGCAGGTGGAATTTAATTGAAATAGGTGGGAAACGCCATGAATTATGATAGACATTAATGAATTTGAAGTTGAAAATAGATTTACTAGCTACCACGATTTTATGTATTTTTTTTTTTATAAGAGAGTGTCATTCATCCGCCCTGGTATCGACCATAAAACTTACATCATAATTAATCAATAACGATAATGAACGGGAATTTAACATTGTCACGATCGAAAAAGATGAGGCTAATGTAATATGCAACTACACGTGTAAATCGAACATATTTAGTGGATCTAGAGGAGTTAGCGCATCTAACAGATCGTGCAGATTTAGCAGATTTAGCAGATCTAGTAGAATAGTAATTATTATATAAGCGTATAGATTTTGTATATGAATAGGGAACTTTAATAACTGTATAACTAATAAACTGTGAATAATACTCTGCCAAATCAACTCCTCTAATCGAGTATTAAGTTTTTCTTGTTACAGTTTGTTGATGACTATGTGTGATGTCGAAATCGGAACCCTGCGTGGGCGAACAAAGGACTGTGTGATCGAACGTAGGAATCGTGATCGTTAAGGAAACACCGTGGTATAAAGAACTGGGTAAGAGAATAGTCTTATTCATTGTAAAAAATCTGATGTTCTAAATGTTCTTTGAGAACATCAATTTTCCAATTTTTATTAATATACATATAAAAAAAAATTGCCTAAGAACATTAAATCAACTTAAATTTCCAACACTGGTCTTATTCGTCGTATAGGAAGGTTGTACCTGTTGAAATCTGCAGTGAATTAAGGTACCTTTGTACTGTTGTAGCGGTTGTGTTTAACTTTGGTGATCAAGTGTTGTATAGAAGACAAAGATGGAAGACTGGGACAACTTATTAATGTTGGTAAAAAAATGGTTATAGAAACGATGGATAGAATTGTAAAGATTTTAAGACTATGTGAATTAAACAAAACCGTATCATGTCATGGGTATGTTATGAATGTCGAAGACGGGCATATTGCTCATTCTTGCCCATACCAAACCTGGATAAAGGAATAGATAACGATGAATACAAAAAACAGGGTATATAGAATTTGAAAAAAAAACTTGATGACACAGAGTGGATATTGTTGCTATAAGCCTCTATTGTGCTATAATTGTCATCGTAAGGGCACTTGACTCATTCGTGTCCATCCCTGGAAGATCAAGTGGAAGTACATCTCGTAGATGTTTGTGAAAAGAGAAATACCAAACGTCGAAATGTAATACATATAATGGCACCAAAACAAGTATAGGAGAAAGATCAGGAAACGCAATGGAAAAAGAATTAATACAAGGGAAAAGAGTACAGGTCTGAGAGACAAAGTTCAAGATGTACGATTCCTTAGGTTTATAGATATAAAGCCAAGAGGATGTGTGAATGTTGGTCGAATGAATAGTAAGAATGTTAAAGGAGGTAAATTGAACGAAAAAAGGATAGTGAATGTTATATAAGTGGTCAAAGTAATGTAAAGATGTAAGTGAGAATGAAAAAAACCTGAAGGCACCGATAAAAGAAACACCCGAAATATTGACTACGATGGTGATGAAAAGAAGTTTTTTTTGAATGTCATCAAAGGTCAGTAAGGCATGCTAATGAAACGTATGTTGGAAATTGTTATTGACGGATGATCAGAGATGAAAAAGTCATCAAATACGAGGGACCTGAAGTGTTACTTGTCGACTCAAATGAATCAGTGAAAATCGAACCAAATGATGCGAAGAGGTTTGAATGATATTTGAAAAATGATGAATGTAGCAATTTGGATTCCTTTGTAGTCAAATCTAAATTTTATTTGAATAATTGAATATCCTACCTATATATTTCGCTCTATTTGAGTCTACACTAAAAATTGTGTTTTATCATCACCATCCCATGCAAAATTGGTAATTTTAATTCTTCCATTGAATTAAATATTTATTCGAGATTTTATTTAAAAATTTGCAACAATCGATAGCAATATTAAAGCAATTTATAATATTCTCTGTGGGTCAAGATGTACGTACGTGCGTACATTATAAATGCAGACATATAGTTACGTCCATTTGACGTGTCGTCACGTCAAAAGTATCATGACGTAGGGCAGAGTAATTAACACTTGCTGGAACCTTAGTTCTGTAGTTACATCAATGTAAAAAGTTACGGCAATAAAAATAGTTACGTCAAATGAGTTATTTTTTTTTTTTTTAAATAAGAATTTGATTTTTTTACAACAATTATTTTTCAATTATTGTTCGATCAAAGATATTACTAATGTTGAAAAAAATCATTTCTTAATTGAAAGAATTTAATTTAAATTCGAAAACATTTATCATATAAATATCTCTAACTTTATTTCATGAGAATAAAAATTATCAATGAATGCATTCACAATAAGTTTCAAGTTTGTGGAATTTATCTTTACATAATACTATCTCCTGTAAAGTTTACTTGTATAAGATTGTTGATTAATTAATAATGTATTTAATAATTTGTTAAATCCAAAGCTATGAATTATAGTTTAGACGTAGCATTAAATATTAATATAGATTTTTGTACATGTCAAATCCTATACAGTAAGTAATAGTAAATCAAGCATTACGAGATAAGCAATACTACGGTGTATGCTTGATGTCACGCCATGTTGTAAGTGGAAATGGAATCGAAATAGATTCAGAATTTCCTAGTTAAATTTATCAAGTTTACATATGACAAATGCTACAGTACCCTAAAATACTAGAATTCCGAATCCACTTAAATTTGTTTCTATTTACAACACATAAATCAAAAATTTACGACACACATCAAGTTTTACGGTACACGTCAAATATTATAGCACACGTCTAATGTTACGGCAAACGTTAGTTATAACTTTTTGACGTACTGACATATCTTCGATTTACGTCTAATTGACACTAAGATCAATTACAATACTTGCATATATAGCTGCCCGATACGAAAGTATCGGAGCAGCCTTTTGTCACGAATCGGAGTGTAAATTGATCAGAGGATTCGGTTATGATTAATTGCATGATTAATATGGATCATGCAAATGTATTGATGAAGTGACGTAGTATTTTCAGTTGGTAATCGTTGAGCTCATCGGAGTGGTTACGTAATGATGTGGTATCTTGATGAAAGCATATTTAAGGGGATGGGATTTTTTTCTGGACAAGATAATTTCTGTTTTTTCTGCTAACCCGACTTTGTCTGGTTTTTTCGTCCCACCCTACCCACCCTCGTATG